TTTATTAATAAATTTTTTTAATTTATATTTTAAAAATATAGGTTAAAAAATTCCTTTATTTATAAGTGGATTAACTTTTAGGAGTTTCAAAAAGAAAAAGTAAAAATTTTTATTTTAATAGTTGGGATAATAATATAAAAACAATTTTTTTTATAATTTTTAAATACATTATATAAAAAATACATATAATGTATGGATGTCAATTAATTAGAAAATATATAAAGTTATATAAAAATTTTAAAAAAATCTCAATCATTTTCCTAATAGGTGCTGCAAACACTGCATCCGGAACAGAGCCGATCAGTCTCCCTCACCTACTACTAGAGTGTAGGACTGGGTATGGTACGGTATGGTAACAGTATCGTACTTAAATGATGGTAATAGTTTTAAATGGTAATAAAAAAAAGTTATCACTTTTATATCAATTGATGATTTTTTAGTAATGATTGTCAATCGTTTTTAATGATAATGAAACTTGCTTTACCAATATCATACCATATTACCATCTTTAAATTTATTTTTTTTATTATCAATTAATTCAATTCATTCAAAATTCAATTTTAAAAACTCAAAATTATCTTAAAAACTTATTTTCTCCGTACCGTTCTTCATCATCTTGAAGCATACAATTATATAATTATACAAAACATGCACACATAAAAAAAAAAAAAAAAAAGAGAACTTGCAACAATTGAAAACTTTGTAGAATAAAAAAAAAAGAGAAAAAAGTTTTGAATGAGTGGTAAATTTGGTAACCATATGGTAAAAATGATAATAACCTCCAATACTAATACCATATCACAGGTCTAAATAGTATTGTCATATTATCATTTAGATTTATTATATGATAATTTATCATATCATTTTCACTGATAATAAAACGATATAATGATAATTGTGGCATTTATGGTATAGTACACAGCCCTACTGAGTGTGTGTGCGTGTGGCAGATATTCAAAGCAATTGTTTAAAAAAGTAAAATTATATTGTATAAAAAAACTTAAAAATTAACTTTTTAATTAAAAGTTAGGTACACATTTTATTTATTTTTTCTTCAAAACTTAACAACGATTCTTGAATATTTCCAACAAAATTTCAAATTTCTCCACTAAACAATCAAACACCCTCCTATTCCAAAAAAAGAAAAAG